TAATTAAATTATGTGACACTCAGATGGCAATCTTATCAAACTTTGTTAGATTAACGACGTAATTACTCAAAAAATGCCATTTTGTTCATCAGGCGATAAACGAGCACGCACATTTCATTCTCGCTAATATTTCTCAATCGATGACAATGTGAAGTGGTTAATTCTTGCGAAAAGACAACCGTTGATTTAACGAACAAATGTCGAATTAAATAGAGTGTTTGCCATAATGCACTTGACTTGTAATTTTTATCAATTATTAATTATCAGTCGATTGCACAAATTGTTACAACAGATAAATCGGATTTTATTGTTATCGATCAACTTTAAGCGTCAATTATTCAGTTCAATACAAAATTTGTCATAAAACACAACGAAAAATGAATTCTGTTTTAATGGTTTCCATCATTTATGCATTCTTGCTCTCACAACGTAAATTGATTTTCCAGTGTTTTTGCACTGCATTTTCTTTCATGTTCAGTGTCATTGTTTATAGTTTTATTTGAGTTGATTGTGCCTTGTTTTCATTAGAATATTCGTATTATAGGTGCAATTATCCGCATGAAATGTGACCAATTTCAAGCGGATACTATACATTACACCAACTTTACTATTTGGTTCCATTTCTGACTCAATCAGTAAACTTCGCTAGTAATCAATCAGAAATTACTCGTTCTCGTTTTAGAGTTTTACTTGGTGAATTGTTCCATATCGCTGACCTATTTAGAACAACCAGTGTACGACGATGAAGAAAATATCAAGTTCTTTCCTCGAATTGTTGGTGGAAAGAAAGCCAGAGAAGGTGAAGTTCGAAGCATTGTAAGTTTTGTGAATTGCAAGAAAATATTTATTTTGTAAAAAAAAGTATTGTCGAGAAATAATTCCGTCATTCGTGCAATTGATTATTCATCGGTTATCTTATTCGATTACGAAGTGAATTTATATTCACTCAGATATGTATTGCGATTAAAAAGCAATTTTTCCATTGAAAAAAGAACCAGTGTCGCCAGTGACTTAGTTGTCAAACAAAGTTTAAATGATTCATTTGAAATAATCACAGATAAAACGTATTTCGTCACAAGAAAGCTTTGTTTTGAATGTAATACATTTTACACTTAGTGTTTAAATTCTTTGTTTTGATATTTGAAGTGGTATTTTATTTGGTGTTTATAAAATTGAATAATCCGATGTTTAATTCGTTTTTGCTATAAAGGTTTCGTTACAAACATATAAAGGCGATCATGTTTGCGGTGCAACTTGGTTTCAAGATGGGAATCAATCACATATTTTAACTGCGGCACATTGCGTCGTGGAAAATGGCGAATATCGTCCAAGCTATTTGGTATGAATCACTTTTCATCAGTTGCTTTAAATTGTAATCAGACTCATGCGAAGTGTGGGTATTAACATTCAGTTTTTAAGTACGTGCAAAGCCTTGACTTTTTGATAAGCGGAAGTAGTTCTTTGAAGTTCACATATACACTCACGTTAATTCATTAGCTTCAGATGTTATGCGGGGAACGCCAAAAGTGAAGTTTTTTTTTTTTTTTGTATTTTTGTCTTTTTTTTGGAATAAAGTCATAATTTTACGCGTCAGGCTCTCATCATCATCTGATCATAAGGGTTTTCTGTAATACATTCAAATGTTCATTTGGAATGTCATTTGTGATGAAAATCACGCGAAGAATTTTGAATTTGAAATATATTTCAAATGAAAGTGCGTTTTGAATATTTCGCCTATTAATAGTCGCCTGATCACAATGATTCATTGTTTCAATGGCTTATCAATGACAAAATTATATGAACTAATGAAATCAAATGAACACCTTATCAATACTTCAAGATCAATAAACTTTAATAATGCTTCATTGATCCGTTTTTTCATCATTAAAATATTTTTCGTCCGAAACTGATGAAATTTTTCTTTATAGTTTCGAGTAATGGGCGACGACCTATCAATTTCCAAAAAATTTCCGGGTCCAAATCGTCAAATTCGAAAAGTACGGAGAATAATCGTCCATCGATTCTACAATGGAAAAAATCTATTAAATGACATCGCAATGATATTTGTACGTATTTCATTCTATATTTAAACACACAAACAAATGTGCTTTTATTGTTGCTGTGTTTTTTATTATTCTCTCAGCTGGCGAAGCCGTTCATCCAAACGAACACGTTTGCCCCAATTAAATTAACGAGTGAAAATGTATACGATTATAAGCCGTGTGTCATTGGTTCGTATAATAATTTTGTTTATTTTTGAATGTTTTATTTGTGTATTTGGTATTTTAATATGAAAACGAATGTTTTATTTCAGCTGGATGGGGCCGATTGTACGTATATGAATTTTTCATTTAATTAAATTATTTCATTTACTGATTACATATGAATTAGGCAAGATAGTTCAAATGCTCCTCCATCGATTCATTTGATGGTTGCGAATGTATCAGTGATACCTCAGCGCATTTGTAACGGATCGAATTCGTATAATGGCAATGTTAGCAAAAATGCATTTTGCGCTGGCTCAACGAAAGGCGGTGAAAGTGTAGATTCATGTCAGGGAGACAGCGGCGGCGGTATATTTAGCAACAACTCTTTAATTGGCATTGTTTCTTTTGGTAAGCTAGTCGTATCTAATTGAAGAATGGATATGGGAAGTGAGATAAAGAAGAAGAAAAAGGAAAGTGAGAAAAGAAAAGTACCAATTTGTGTTCAATTTTCAGGTCAGGGGTGCGCATTAAAAAATTTTCCCGGTGTTTATACAAACGTTTACAAATACAAAGGATGGATTCGCGAAACAGCAATTTCATCATCAGTATTCATTCAGCCGAATATGGTGATGCTGGCCACGATTTGCTCCGCAATGCTTGCTAAATTATTTTTTTTTGTTTGAATAATTTTATTCAATAAAGAACATGACATATTTATCTCGAATACATCTAGTTTTAACACAAGCAATGTCCAATTTGAAAGTCTAACACAAACAAAAGACGTCATTGAATTCTATTATTTTCGTGTTGTTTACATGTTATCGTTCTCTTGAGGTAAAAGAGGCGACGCAATATTAATATTTGTATGTATATGAACGAACGCGTCACTGAAAATTTATATCAGACCATTTTTAGATTTACAGTATTGCGTCACAGTGGGAACTTCGAAAGAAGTGTTTTGTACTTATCTGTGAATACACAGAAGAATTTAAATTAATAAACGTTCATAATAACGAATGCAACCAACTTCATTGAAGACGTAGACACAAGCGATTGACCATACACTCTCTCAAATTGCTCCAAGAAAAGTTGCTGCTCATCGTCACCAGCTGATGGTTCGAATCAACGCAAAGATAATGATCGAAGTGACGAACATCGATTTCATCCGGAACAAAGCTCTGAAAATGGTGAAGGACAAAGTGGACGCTATTCCAAGGTGAAGAAACGAAGAGGAAGAAAGAAGTGAAGATAAATCGAAAGATCGAAAAGAATCAGTTGGAAAGAAGGCAAAATAAAATATCTTACATCCGTTAGATGAACTTTTCCGCACTGTGATCCACAACATGCATTTATTACGTATGTTTTACCGTAAATATGAATTCATGAGAAAATTGAATCTGATATAAGTTTTGCGATACAAATAATTTTGGATAGACTTTTCAATGCCTGTATGATATCGTTATCATGTGAAATGTCAGATGTTATTTTCTTCACAAAAAGCTAACATTCTGAGAGTTTGAAGAATTTTAATACAATTGAGTGGTACCTTACATACAAAATTTTTGTTTTTGAGCAAAAAGTCCGAAATTTTGTTTGGAAGGTACTCCTATTATCCATTGAAATGTCTTCAAACCCTCGGAATGTTATTTTTGTGTGAAAAAATAAGCTGTGCAAAGTTTCAGCTCATTACGATATCATACAGGCATGGCTTCCATACAAAAATCCAAAATTTTTGAAATGTTTGTATGAAAAGTTTGCCGAAAAGTATTTGTATCGCAAAACTAACGTCACATTCGGTTTTCTCGTACCCAAAAACCCTCCAATACATATTTTTGAGTGTTTTAGAATACATTAAATATCACTTTTTGAGGAAAAATTAAATTTTTCCTATGGACATCACACCAGACATGAAACTTCACTGTATCAACCAAAGTCGCTCAAAATGTAATGGTTTCTATTCCTCGGCACCCTTAATCATCCTGTGAAGTCAGATTTTGAATTACTTTTCTTGTTTGAAAGTTATCGTGTTAACAAATTTTTGCGTACAGCGTACAGGGTACGCACATACATTCGGACATCGAAAAAACGCTGAATTCGTGTTCCGGTGGGGTTTTTTTTGGCACGAGAAAACCGAATCCGACGTTAGTTTTGAGATACAATCAATTTTTGATACAGTTTCTTTGAAAAAATAAAAAAAAATTAATTTTTTTATGGGAGCCATGTCTGTATGCTACCTTAATGACGTGAAACTTTTTACAGACTATTTTTTACACAAAAAAATGACATTCTGAAAGTTTGAAGAGATTTCAATTAAAACTAGGGGTACCTGCCATACAAAATTTTCATTTGGCTCAAAAACGAATATTTTGTATGGGAGGTACTCTTAATTTTGGTTGAAATTTCTCCAAACCCTCCGAATGTTATTTTTTGTAAAAAAAAACCTGTACAAAGTTTCACGCCATTAAGGTAGCATACAGACATGGCTCCCATACAAAAATCCAAATTTTTTGTGACTTTAGTTATGAAAAGTGTTTCAAAAATAATTTTTATGCCAAAATTAACCCTCCTGCAGACAGAATGGGTCTATGAGGCCCAGCAACTCATAAAAAATTGAATAAAATCCAAACTACTAAATCAATTTTCTTGAAACTTGCGCGTTAAGCTAATGATATCGATACATAAATAAAAAAATATATAACGGTAAAATATTAAATTATAAAAAATTGTTTTTCGACAAAAACCAAAATCTCACTTCAACCAGACAGTATGGGCCTCTCAGGCCCACCATACAAAATGTATGGAAATCCATGTATTTAGAGAAAATTTTGCAAACAAATTCTATTTTTTTTATTGTTTTCTGTCTCCAATGGTTTTATACGAATTCAATAGCTGCACGTAAGTGAAGATCGGACACAGTAGCGCAGCCGTACAGGTGGTGCGTATGTCCAAAAAAAAATTCAATGTGTGATGACTGCGCATACTAATGCGGTCGCGACCACAAAGCCAATGGACTCGTGTATAATACATATGAAATAGTAGCAATAAAACGTCCGTTCAGTTTTCTTATTTTCTTTGGTGAACGAATATTTCATTTAGCTCTGTTAGTGGAAGGCTTTTTTTGAGTTCGCAATATAAATTACGAAAGTAACATAAATTATGTTACATACTTTATAGAGTTAAACTTTGTACAAGTACAAAAATTTCTACATGAACTGTCTGAATCATTGGTTTACGATCAAATTGCTCGCAGATCGACTCGTGGCGTGGACATGGAACATCAAGTAGTTTTGAATCAAGTTCGCCAACATTTGAACATTCCAGAAGTCTCTGAAGAACTATCGACAAACTCATCATCTCAAAGACGTCGATGTCATTTATGTCCAGCTTCACTCGGTCGAAAAACAAAAACTTGTTGTGGCAAATGTAACAAAAACGTTTGTGGTGAACATTCAACCATGACGGTTTTGTGTACACAATGTGGAAAAAAACGCACACACAAAACTGATTCTTCCGATTCCAATTAATTTTTTTACATTTATTCAATACTTTTATTTATGTTTCTATTTATTCATCTCGTTTTTTTCATTTTCGTCGAATAAAAAACGGAAAAAAATTCAAAATTGATATTGGTTTTATCATTTTGAAATTATTTCCATACATTTTGTATGGTGGGCCTGAGAGGCCCATACTGTCTGGATCTGTTATTATTATGAACTGTCTGCAGGAGGGACATATTTTCGTCAGACATATTTTTATAGCGCTTTGTTAGAAAATAGAATACTTTCAAAAATGGGGTGGAAATGAATGAGACGAAATTTTCTCTCTCATGGGCGCAGCCATATTGAAAATTTTGTATGCGCTTATATGTAAAATTGGTGGCGCCACTGGTATATTTGATGGAAAAAGAAGAACATGTTTGAGTCTCACTCTTTTATATGTAAATTATATAGGCATTTCCAGGCCATGTATGAGTCATTTGAATCTACACAAGAATGTTCATGCCAGAACATTTCCATTTCATTGTACAAAATTTCGTCGAGGATTCAAACAAGAAGTCGAAAAGATCGAACACGAAAATCAATGTCAAAATCGACAATTTCTATAAAACTCATCAAATGTTTCCGCATTTTGAACAATGAACAATATCCTCATGTCATAATTCACTAAAACTGTAACTGAGTTATGGAACAGTTTTAAGAACACACAAAAAACCAAATCAAATAAGAATCAATGAAAGTTTTCTTAATCTTAAAAACACCGATTATTACTAAAATGAATCCAAATGAAATTCATCAATTTTATATCAAAGACATTTATTTCAAATAAAAACACTCGACACTTTTCGTTTATTTTTGTTATCTTATTCCCCTCCTCAATTTATTTCAAACCAAATTGAAGCTTGTATTATCTTTAATCGTATAAAATACATTCTTTTCTAAAATCACAATAACATTGAAAATTTCGATGGAACACTTAAAAATAATATGGAAACTCAAATATTTAATTTTCTTTTATTTTATCGGTTAGTATTTTCAGTGTAGCTTCAATTGTCGTCAGTGATTTCTCCATTCTAGCCATTCGACTTGCCAATATGTCTCTTTCCACATCATTATTTTCACCGCGTTCTCTGTATTTTCTGTTGACGTTTCTCTGTCGAATTTGAAGTGCTTGTTGTATAATCTTCGAGTCGATTGGTGCTGTTCTTAGCCGGGTCCAGCTTCTCAGCGGTACTCTCATCGACATTGATGATGATCGAAGCATTTTCACCGAATAAACTTTGCACTGATCATCTAATTCAATATAAATCCGTTTGTTTTGGTACACAAAATTGTTAAGATGAATAAAGCACCTGCAGATTCGCCATAGTATTCGATGATTTTTGCTGAAAATATTCAAGAATAAAGACAACAATCTATCCATTGCGTGGCTCTAAACTCACCGAAACCAATGTCCTTTATTCGTCAGTACATCTTCATATCTTGCTAGCATTTGACAACGTCTACCATAGCTTCGTAGTTCAGCATCAAACTGCAACTTTTGTGTATCGCTAACGGCGAGTCCATTGAGTAGGTTCATAAAAACGGTTGAAATCAAAAAGATAAAACCAATAAAAACCAAAATGCCAACGGCACTGGCGTCAAAATTCATATCTAAAATGTCAAATTCGCCGGTAGACATTACAACTGTTTTAATCACAGACACTCCCAATGTGGAGAATCCAATCCAATCGCTTGTATCGCCGTTTTGTTGCCTTCCACTTTCACTCGAATCACACAGTAAAATGTAGAACAATAATGAAAATGCTGGCAAAAAAATCGCATACAATTGTAAACTTTGAATGGAACTCGTTGCCACGGTGATGAACATTTCGTGATAAATGGAAAAATGCCAAAATGCACTGGCCAACAGAATGAACTCATGCGTTATTAATACAATGCAAATGGTAGCAAATATAGACCGATGAATGTCATATCGAACTCCAGCCATGAATAACACCAAAAACACGATGATTGACAGTGTGAGCAAGGAATTCAGAGAATTCTCCCAAGTTTTCTGATGGCTTGACGAGCAAAATGAAACTTGTATCAATCGTCTGAATGCAACATAAGCGATAAAAGTCAGTGTGATGACAACCATAGGAATCGAGTAACTTGAGGGATCTCTGATGTAATACATTGAAATCAGACCAGTGACCAAAGAGAGCAGGAAATAAAGCATGAAATCTATGTAAAAAACCAATGCCATTCGTGTCCATTTCAACGAAATAAAACTAGCAATCAATGGATGCTCCAATAAATGCCGCAATTCATTCGACTGTGATATGAATTCAATGACGGTCAAATCATTTGGATAGTCGCACGATGGCGCAATCAAATTTTCATAATTGAAAACCACCAAATTTTCGCCGGTAATACAATTGTCGAAATGTTTTTCCAGCGTCTTTGCGTTGATATTCCAAATGGTTGGCCGCTGCGTTGCATCTTTTAAGCCAATGTAAGCACCTCTTTTCAACAAATCCATTATAGTTTTCGATTTATTGTACATCACCGCTAAATGTAAGGCTGAATGATCGACGTTTTGTTCATTGACTTCGTAGTCGGCATATTTGAAAAGTAAATCCACACATTTGCCGAAATCAATTTGTTTATTGTCAATTTCTTGACCATCTTTGTCATACTTTTGCACTCGCATCAGAAACGTTGTAAATTCAACCAGTTTTACTGGTTCCCATGCCATTTTTCTTCTTTTCTCGAGTAATTTTCGCAAACATTCCCACCGACCGAATTCATACACCAAATGAATCGCCGTCGAATTGAAGGTGGCATTGAACGATCCCAATTTTCGAATTGCTTTGCTCAAATCTTTTATCACGGCTATTTTAATCAATGAAATATTACGCCAAATCTCCAGTGCATCTACGGCGTTTAGGTTGTTCGGTTGTTCTGTATTCAATTTAAGCACTTCTTCCGAATGTTTTTCACACACCAAATCGAATCCTTTGACAAATTGCACTTCATTGTTGCATAATAAACAAAACATCAAACGATCACGATCCCAATAGGTTACATTTTGATCACGAATTGACGGAAGTTCCACATTGGAGAGGAGTTGTATCTTTGATCTGCTTTCATCATTCAACTGAAAATGGAGAAACATTCATATTTTAAAGTCGAATTGAAGTGCTTAGCGGAGGGGGCAGAATTAAAGAATTAACCAAGGGAGAACGAATAGAAAAACAAGAAAAAACCGTGTGTGTGTGTGTGGAATCGAAAATATATTTCACGTGAAAGAGAGAGTTTCTACGGATTCAACTATCGACACTTTTAAAAGTTCTCTCTTGAAATTTTACTTAATTAAAGTTCTCCTACAATTTAATCGAGTGAATACCTCAAAAAATTCCATTTCAAAACCGAAATTAAAACAATCCACTTGAAAGTCGACTGTCGCAAAAAAAAAAAAATACCAAAAAAGTTAAATTGATTTTCACAAAAAATTTGAACCTTTTTCCTTTCAACAGAAATATTTGATTTCGCAAAGCTACTCTCTCCACTGACGAGTCATTCTCATTCAAAATGACCCCAAATCGTAAAACTAAATAAACAAAAACCAAATATTTTCATACGAATTCAGTATCAAAGCTGGCGATCAAGTACTCTTCAGCGAAAGTGTCAAAATGCTCTCCACTGTATTTATCAAGAATTCCATGCAGCTTTTGTTTCAAGCGATCATCGTTTTTATCAATGTTAAATAGCTGCGAGCGAAATGTTTTAAGCTCCTGTGCAACGTCAAACGTTCGCTTTGTCATCATTCACTGAAACATTCGAGAGTCGAATCGATTAGCTTGAGAATGAATATGATAATTATTCTAAACATCAAAAGATTGTAGTAAAGAAAATAAACAAACAATTACCTTAAATATTTCAATTGGCGTGATTTTACGACGTAGCCTAAAATATCACTGCTGATAGTCGACCGAATCAGACAAACTGATACAAGACCAAACGAATTTGATAAGATTAACACTTGAAGTGATGATCAACAACTGACGTATTCTCCTTTCAATACGCAGGAAGACATCAAATTTATTTTATTTTATAGAATTTATTAATATATTTATTAATGAAGACACAAAGCCAAGTAGTTTGTTGACAACTGTCTATGGTTTAATCTAGTAATGAGGTGAAATGATGTGATAGGCATATTCAAATCTCGTGATGATTTTTTATGCGTACAGTAAAGCTATAAATTACTGAAGAAACCCATTCAGTTTATTAGGAATGCCATTCACTTTTTACTTTTCCGCACACACCTAGTGTGTAAGGTAAGGTATTGAAATCGGTCGAAAAATAAACATCCCAAAAAAGATGTTTTCTGGGTGTTTTAAGGAGCCAGGGAACACGATTCAGTCGTTTTTTCGATATCCGAATGGGTATGTGCGTGGTGCCCTGTACCCTGTACGCAAAAATTTGTTAACACGATACATTTCAAACTTCCCGAGGAATAGAAACCATTAGATTTTGAGCGACTTTGGTTGATAGAGTGACGTGTCATGTCTGGTGTGATGCCCATGGCCATTCATGGGAAAAATTCTTCATTTTTCTTCCAAAAGTGATATTTAATGTATACTTAAACACTCATAAATATGTATTGGGGGGGTTTTAGGTACGAGAAAACCGAATATAACATTAGTTTTGCGATACAAATAACTTTCGACACACTATTCATACAAAAAATTTGGATTTTTGTATGGAAACCATGCCTGTATGATATTGTAATGAGCTGGAACTTTGCACAGGTTATTTTTATCACAGAAAATTAACATTTTGAGAGCTTGAGGAAATTTCAATGCATATTAAGGGTGACTCTCAAACAAAATTGTGGATTTTTTGCTCAAAAAGGAAAATTTTGTATGGAAGGTACCCCTAATTGTATTGAAATTTTTTAAAAACGATATCATACAGGTATTGACTCCATTCAAAAATTTCCATTTTTAGTAATATTTTTATGAAAAGTGCGTCGAAAATTACAGTAAAAGATATGTAGTAAATGAATGTTGTGGATCACAGTGCGGAAAAGTTCATCTTAGTGTAAAATTAAAACAATTTGTTTGAGTGCGAGGGGCCGAAGTCGTTCAAGTTTTATTTAAAATTAGTTTACATCTATCTATATTAGGATCGAAGTGCCATTTATTTTCTATTCCTTCTCATTTGATCATACCAACAATTACCTCTTCCGGTCATTGTGATTTTTGTTAAATCCTGGAAGATTTTTAGCTAGGTAAGTATTTTCGAATGAAATCCATTTATAAAAGGAAATTCATAGAGGAATTTAAGTAAATCCTTGTATTCAACGTTTATTACAATTGAATTTTCATCGATAAATATGATTTCACAATTTTGAATTTTCATCGATGAATATGATTTCACGCTTAAAAGTAATAGAATTTATTGACACCTGATGGCTGCATTACAAAGATCGGATCACATCAGACACATCCGAATCCATACCGGGGAAAAGCCTTTCGAATGCGAAATATGTGCAAAGGCTTTTACAACTATGAGTAATTTGAATCAACACAAGAAAGTCCATGCCAACGAATTTCCATTCCATTGTCCAACACTTTGTAACCCACAATATGTTGGGTCCTAGATAGCACTTTTTCATAGCTTCACAAAATAAAAGGCTCTCCATATTGAACTTGGAAATTACTCCTAAAAAAAGTTTCCACATTTTGTCTGAGTAATCAATTTATTCATAATATTTTAAGCAATTTGCTTTTGAGATATTGATCTAAATTACTTATTTAACCTTAATAATTCTATTTTGTCTGTACAAAACATTCCGTTCAAAATTACTTTCATTTCACATTCGTCACCTTCATAAAAATAGCTTAAATTTGTAAGATATCATTTTGTGACTGTTGACAGGAAGGAGATCGAATGATGTGCAGGTGTTATTCGTTTGATTTTTTCATTTCGTTTTGCTTTTATTTCGTTAAATTTCTTTTCAATGTCGGTTTTTTACTGCTAGATCCTATTCTCCAATTTTTGTAATAGTTCGATACGTAAAGCTAAACCGATTTAAAAAAAATTTGTAGAACATTTAAGCATAAGTAAAAATAGAAAGAGGTCGATTTTGTGACATTTCATGGGTCTATTGAAAAGATAGATCCAATAAATATCCAAGTAAAATTCAAAATTACACATTTTTTTGTTCAAATTCTTGTAAATGTGAACACTTACTCTTGGATTTGAAATAAATTCTTCATAAGCATTTACGAAAACATAAACTTCCGGAAGACCATCAAAATTGAAACTGGCAGTGCCGATCAGTTTTCCATCTTTCGTCAAAATCGGCCCTGAAATAAAATTGATAGTTACATTGAATGGACTAAAAAAATCGTAAATACTCAATCCTGATTCGTCATGAAAAGAACAAAATTACCTCCAGAATCTAACAAAGACAAAAGTAATACAAAATTATTTTAAAATTGCAAAAGGAAAAAAGTCTCAAAAATTACCTCCGTGGTTCGTGTTATGCTTTTTTTTGCCTCGCAAGCTAACACAAAATTGCTGTTGATCCAATAAAAGACCTTTCATTCTTTTAGAATAGCTATTTCGACAATTTTGAAAGTCCTCAACCCTTGAGCTAACCGAACGTAAATGTGTTCTGTCTATAATTTGTCGAGTTGGATGAGTAGCTTCTGTGTATCCAAGCATCGTAACCGTATCTCCGGTCTTTAGAACATAATTTTTTCCGGCCAGTTCTGCTTGACCAATGTTTGAATCGAATGTTAAATTTTCCTTTAGTTCAATCATCGCTATGTCATGTCTGTATGACGGTGCGCCTGTGGTGAAGAATTATTTATTAAAAACAGTAAGAATCAATAAGATGGGAAATAGGACGCACCGCCCGCGTACTCTGGATGTATGACAATATCTAGGTCGGTGACATTCACTGTGTGATATGGCTTGTCTAAATTTGTCGTACCAAAAATCAATGTAAATAACATTTTTTTATGTACACAATGCGCCGCCGTTGCAATAAGATTTTTTGAAAGTACAGTTGCCCCACATATATAACGGCTTATTTTTGGTGTTTTATGGTATTGAATTCTAACCATGTGCTTATATTTTTCGATGTTCGTTACCAATTCACCATCAATAATTGAAACAACGGCCGGTATGAACACAGCAAACAATAAGTAAAATAAATTCATTGTTATTTTATCCAACAAAATTCAAGTGTAACTGAACCAATCACAATTTTTTTATGGAACGATTGTTTTGGAAACAATCCTTTTATACCCTTCATTAAACAAAATTAAGCGATGTTATAATTGACGAACGTAAAAAATAATGTTTAATTTATTCATTTAAATAAAAAACAAACAACAAAAATGCCATGACATCTGTTTTGTTCAAATATTTAATCACATGATAAACAAAATATTTTGAATCGAACTCAAACCGAGTGACTGAATGACGCAACAATGAAAGTAAGTAAATATGGAATAATAAAAAAAGTGGAGCCAATATGTCGAAAACACATTAGGGTGTATTTATAATAGAGCAAGTGATCAATTTTTTTTTTTGGGAAATTAGGCACACCTCACATACAACATTTTTGATATTGAGCATAAAATCGAAAATTTTCCATCATGAAAATTACCATTCAACATCGACCCCCTTCAAAGAAAACGGTGTGTATCACTTCTCTCATCAATCAACACGCTGTTAATTGTGAATTGTTTTAGCTTACAGCCCCTGCTTTATTATATAGAAATATTCTGTAAAGAATGGTAAACACTTAAGGTATCCTGCTGTGAGACATTGTGTAACATTGCAAATCGATTAGAGAATCAAATCCCAGGTTTTAGATATAAAATAATTATGAAATATAATAATTAATGATGAATGTGCATTATGAAAAACAAATAGAGTCAACCGCTAACTTTATACAAGAGTATGGCATTTATATTTCAATTTTTAAAGGGCAAAAATAATGAAATATTATGTTTTTGGCCAATTTATTGCCAATTTAATTCGAATGTTTTTAAAAAGCAAAAGGAAAGAGAAAAAATTTAAAAAAAATCCAATTTCAATGCAAAAATATGACTTCATTTTAAAGTCGTCAATTAATGTACATATTAATTAATTCTAAAAAATTTAAATAATTAATTCTTATACTAGTACAACGGTAAATAAATAATAGAATCATCGTTCTTTTCATTTATCAATCAATTTCTCGGTAATTGTGCGTAACGTTTCGTTCATTGTTTTCAGTGTATTTTCAATTTCTGTGATGCGATTCATTATGCTCTCTTGTACATTTTCGCCAAATTCTTTGCGATTTCGATGCTTTTCCAGTTCATATCTTTCCCGAATTTCCAGTGCATTCTGAATGATTTTCGAGCTCATTCTTGCGGGTCGCAATCGTGTCCAATTTCGTAGCGGAACTCTCAAGCAAATAATATTTGATGTCACTTTCACCGCATAAACTGTATTTAAGTCGTCCAATTCGATATAAATTCGTTTGTCACGATACACAAAAGTGTTGATGTGAGTGAAGAATCGCAGTATCTTCCACATCTTCGGGTACTTATCACTGTGGAAAGGGTGAATTGAAATTAAATTACTTTGAGTTTTTATTAACGAAATTTGGATTGAAGCAACTTACCGAAACCAATGGTTTTGATGTGTCAAAATTTCTTCATACCGTGCCAGGACTTGACTCCTTTTCCGAAAACTCGTCAATCGTGCTTTGGACTGAATTTTTTGTGTATCACTAACGGCAAGGCCTAATTTAGAATAAACCCAGTTAATGGTAATTTCTTTTTTTATGAATTAAAATCCATTTACCGTTTAACAAATTCATAAAAACGGTTGAAATCAAAAATAGAAACCCGATGAAAATATAAATGCTGATGGTGTTCATGTCGAAATTCACGTTGATAACATCAAACTCTCCGACTGACATCACAATCGTTTTCACAATCGATGCGCCAAGTGTGGGAAATTTATTCAAATTTGGTCCATCTCCGTCTTTGGCCGATGAATCACGCAGCAAAATATAGAAAAGTAGTGAAAATGCCGGTAAAAATATCGCATACAATTGTAAACTTTTGATGGCATTCATGGCAACCACGATGAACATTTCGGAGTAAATTGAAAAATGCCAAAAACTGCCGGCCATCATAAAAAACTCATACGTTATTAATAAAATGCAAATGGCGGCGCATGTTGGACTGTGAAAATTCCAAGGCACAGAAATGACAAAACACACCAAAAATACCACAATTAAAAATGTCAACAGCGAATTCAAGTAGTTCTCCCAACTTCTGAGGTAACTGGACGAACAGTGAATCACTTGTATTGTACGTCGCGATGCAACATAAACGCTGAATAAAATGATCATCATGCACATTTCGATCAGATAACTCTCTGGATCGGCCAAGTAGTACATGGACAGGCATCCGGTGGTGATTGACAATAGAAAGTAACACATGAAATCCATGTAGAAAATCAATGCCAATCGATTCCATTTGAGGAACAGGAAGCTCGCAACCAGAGGATGTTCAAGCAAATATTTGAGATCATTTGAATTTGAAATGAATTCAATCGCGGTCATGTCGTTTGGGTACTCTTCGGATGGTGCAATCAAATTTTGGAAATTGAACACAATCAAATCGTCGCCCTCGATACTGAAATACATGAATAAATAATACATTGACTGAAATACATCGATTCAAATATATCCATACCATTGATCGAAATATTTTTCCAATATTTTTCCTTGAATATTCCATATAGCCGGTCGATCGTTTTTATCTTGCATTCCAATATAGGCACCGTTTTTCAACAAATGAAAAATCATTTTCGATTTATTGTACATCACTGCTAAATGAAGGGCAGAGTAGTGTTCATCATTTTGTTCATTGACTTCGTAGTCGGCATGCTTGAAGAGAATGTCAACACATTTACCATAGTCAACCTGTCCATCTTCTGTTTCACGAAAATCTTTGTCGTAGGTATGGGCTCGCATTAAAAATGTCGTGAAATCACCCAATTTCACCGATTTCCACATCATTTTACCTCGTGTGTCCAATAATGATCGCAATGACTTCCAATGACCAAATTCGTATATTAATTTAATCGCCGACAGATTCATGCTGTCGTTTAATGATCCCAATATATCAAGTGCCAGACTCAAGCCACGCAGTACAGTTATTTTAACCAATGAAATGTCACGCCATGTCTCCAATGATTGGACATCAGTACCGTCAACACTTTCATCCGAATCGCTTAGTTCGCCATCTAATTTTGTCAATTCGTCGGAGTTTTTTTCGGCTAACAATTTTATGGCTTTGGTGAAGATCTCTTCATTATCGAACATTAGGCAAAACATCAATCGATCACGATCCCAGTATGTGATGTCCGCATTACGAATGGATGACAGCTCATCGTCGATTAGAAGGCGTTCTACTTTTGGACGAATTTCATCATTTAACTAGAAAATTGAGCGAAAAGCTAATTAGTTCAATTAATTTAGTTTTTAAAAAATATATGTGAGCAGACCATTGGACGAGCTAACTAAGCAGCTGCTGCTTTGATATTTGCTACATTTCACTAGTCCATACCGCGACTTTGTAGTAAAATGAAAGGGATACACTTGGTTCCTCTTGCAATCTCCTACAAAATCAATGGAAATATTCAGCGGCCGCTGCGTAATTACCAATTAACAAAGCAGCTGGGTAGTTAGCTCGACCCAAGCTCTTTTTTTGAGAAAAGGGAAACAAAATAACTTTAAAATGTATACATTGGCAATATCAAATCGAGTAATCAGATATTCTTCAGCAAAGGCATCGAATTGACTGTCCGAATATTTTTCAGCGTCCCGATATTCATCAAGAATATCTTTCAATTGCTCTTTTTCGCTATCATCGTCTGTATCAATTTCAAAAAGTCGCGATCGTAATGACCGTAATTCTTCCAAAACAGCGGACGTTGACTTTGCCATCGTTCCATCAATCGTACAAATTGTCGAAAACAATGTCACGATTCATTAGAGCATTCTTTTTGTTGTTTTGCATTAGTTCAATTTGCTGAAAACACACAATTAGTGACATTAGCTCTTTTCTATTGATACGATTGTCCAGTGGCCACTTATTTAAAAATGAGAGAAAATGTCATTATTCAATAATAAATCAACATGAGTCAGTAGTAAAAATAGAAAATTCCATTGAAACTCTCCGTAATAAACAGTATTGAATTTAACAAACAAAAATACCTTGTGATGGTTCAGAAATAGTTCAAAGTCAAGTATTTACCGGTAAAATACAAACGATTCTATGGATAAAAAAAGTAAACATATTAAAACAAAACGTGATAAGATAAGTGATGTATGAATTTTGTATTCAGTATATACGCGAACACACACACTTCCATTGACTGATACTTTTTATCTCGTTCTCTCTCTATTTCTCAGTGATTCTTCTTGCTTTATCTCTCTCTCTCTCTCTCTATCTATCTATCTATTTCATTCTATTTAATCTACTGTCTGTTCTCCCTATTGCCCTATTTTCTCTCTCTGTCTTACACTAAATCACGAAACATTTCTCTCAAACACACTCACGCTCTGTCTCTTTCCCGCTCTTTCGTTTTTTTTTTCCAGCTCACTATGTTTTGTGTGCCGCTCCCAGCTTGAGAGCGTACTGTATAATTCAATTACGTTAAATTCATGTGAAACGCAAATTATTTATTTTCATATTTCATCTACAAAAAAAAATCTATAACTTTAAATTATTTGCGAAATTGTTGGTCGAATTTATTTTTTTAAGTAAAAACCTTCAACACAAAATAGATTGTAATTATGAACGAGTGATCGATATCTATAAGCCTGACTTCTCTATTAATGTGATAATAAATTATAAAGATAGCTAGCTTGTCAATGGACAACGAACACAAATAATTTAATTGAATTATCACACCAAATTTATAACAAAATCATTTAAACTCACAACATTTCAATTGATTTCGATCTCACTCCATTGATAGCAAACTTATGACTGAACTGACATTTGACTGTGTCGCACAGGCGCATTGCCACCTCAAACAACTGTGTATATAAAAACATTCGGTTTCGGCAAACGATCTATGCAAGTGTGCGTGACTCACTCGTCGAGTGTGTTGTTATTTAATGCGCGCTTTACTTGTCACCCGTCGCATACATGCTCCGCTTAAAGTTCTAACAATAACAGTTGCTTACGCAGTTGTAAGTGTTGTGTGAGTATGAAATCGTATTTATGTGAATAAGCGATAATTGCGTAGTGCCGTCCAAACAGATTTTTTTTTTGTTTTGCATGTATATTTCGTCTGACTGTTTATATGTGATCGGCGTATGGTTAACGCGAGAACAGCTGTGTTACAGACACTGAAAGGGGTTTAGTCACTTTATTTCTTCTATATTTTAAACTTAAAACTCTGTGTTGCAAAACATCGGTGATATTATTGCCATTGATGTTGGTTTTGAATAAGGGTCATCGAAAAAAAACTATTTTTCGGTACCAAATGAGATTATACGTATAATCTGTACTGCTTCTCCTTTATGGAAATTGATAAAGTCATTCTGCAATCTGTTGCACGAAACTTTTTTTAACAAAATAACTGAATAACAAATATTTGCATGTGTTGACTTGACTCCGATTTTTTTTGTACTACAATAGACATTCGCCAAGACATTCGCATGGAGATAAGCACGGGGTTTTTCATTTGTATGATTGACTGGCAATCAAATTTAAAATTAAATGATAAACGAATACATCACATTGGAATAATTACAACATTGAGAATAAATGTTATATTTTTGTTTTCATTTCATTCTCAAGCTTATTCATATAGCTTTGATAAGAAACTTATCACTTACAATGCCATGGGAAAAGATTAAATTTAAATAGCGAAGTCGCTTCAAAATATTTGTGAATGTTCTCGAGTAACATTTTTCGCGAAATTTTGCGAATTTTTCCAAGAAAATGTCACAATATTCGTGAAAATCAAAACCTACTAAAGAAACCGACCGTAAAACACATTATTTTGGAGCATGGAGCATGTCATTTCCATATGATCCACGTTTTGAAAAATATATCATATACATTGAATAAAAACGAACGGCAAACAAATTAAATTTAACGCAAGTGAAGGAATGAAATAAATGTGAAACAATTTTAGTGTCCTTGGATGAACAAATGAAATTAAATTGAATCGATGTTATCCTTTTCGTTTTAATTTTAAAAGCGTGTATTAATAAAACGATAAAATATATAGATATTGATAAAAAGAGATAAAAAAAAACAATATTTTAATCATTCAAAGGATTAAAAATACGTTTGGAATTAAAAAGCGGTGTTAATGCAGTACTCTGCGGTTGAATTTTGGATTGAACCAACGTAGTTTCAGTTTGGTGAAAAAGAGAAGGATTTTATCGAATATTTGTAGTTTGACTCAATTTCAAAGAAGTTTCGATTATGTGATTTCCAAAGAAGGTGAATGGAATAGGGACACAAGTAAGCTAATGCAGTTTGATTTGAGCTTGCCAAATTTCTGAATCGACGGACATTGGGATCGATTGAATTTCTTTCTCAATTTCATTATTTATTTATTTCAGCCGATCCAATCAATTTTCCCCGAATTCTGTAAAAACAGCAGGTATATTAAATATATTTATTTATGTCTAGATCTATTTATAATATATTTGTGCAATGCATTTTTACAGTATTCATGGCATTCGATATTTTACCGAACGAAAACGCGATTGGAGTGAAAGGTACTGACAGTGTCCTGTCACATAGAACCAGTGTGTCCATAACATATAGAAATAGCACTAAATAGTGTCGATATCTATACTATATTGGTCCACTATATATGTAAGATATTCCGCAAGACACCGTAGCTCACGATAGAAGTGAGTGCGGACGGCAAACATGTTGACGCATACACACAGTTCTTTCTACTGCCGCATGGCAATTTGTGATTTTTTCCGTCTACACTGGCTTCGATCGTGCGATACGGTGCCGTGCGGCAATATCTTTCATATATAGTGGACCGATATAGTATAGATATCGACACTATTTAGTGATATTTCTATATATTATGGACACACTGCATAGAACTGATTCATTTTCATCAATATTCTTCAGGTTGTGGTGGCTGATCGCTGTCGGCTTATCGGTGTTGCTGTGTGGTTCATCGGTGCAAAGAGTGTACAAGAATAGATTGAATCTATCGACAGTCTTCAAAAATGAACCTACAGCACCAAATATTTCATCAACGAGGTAAAAGTAAAAAAAAAATGATTTTGACGTGTAAAACACAAGCAAAGACAGCAATTTAATTTGGATTTATTATGATGATATATATATTCATAGAGTTTAACGATCTAAAGCTTTGTCTCATGTGTGTGAACTGTTACAGTTCTCTTGTCCGTACGTTGATAAGTTTGCAAATGAGTCAATTTACAGTGTACTAATGGACGTGGCTCCGACTCATCACGATACATTAATGACATGTTCGTGGCAAAGCAACTGATTTGCTAGAGAAATTTTTGGTTTCGAAAAACCACCATCATTTTGCGCAGATACAAATTTAAAATTGAGATACTGTACCAATAATACCATTTTATTTGACTAATTTCGGGACCAAAATGCAAAGGAAACAAAAAAACTAAACCATTCTCATTTTTTTCCTCACAAAAATTACACATTTTTAAACTAAACGAGAAAGAAGAAGAAATTCCTTAATGATAACCAATATTTAATGCGAGAATAAAGCATAATTTATTGAGAATAAAGCATAATTTTTAAATATTAGAAAATCATTTCAAGAGTTTTCTATTTGTCAATGATTTCGGTCAAGAAAAAGTATTGTTTTTAGTTCAAATATGTCAGATATTGTATTAAAGTGAGTATTCCATTGTGCAAAAGCGTAAATAGGTCCATTTCAACCGGTCTATATTTGTATGAGATTGGAGAATTATTTTTACGGGAACTTTTTACCCACGCCATCTCCATTTATGTCCAGTGAACTTGATTTAGATCAGTCGTATTGAAACGAAAAAGAGGAGAAAAAACAACAACAATAGTATGGCCACACAGAGCTGTACATCTGTGCTGATGCATACATACACATTTACGCTCTCTTCAGTCTTTCATTCCATTGTTGTTGTTTTTTCTCTTTTTCGATTCAATGCAGTGCAACAAATTGAGTTCAACTATGGAAAACAAGATGGCATGAATGAGGGGATTACGCATTCTGTCTCTTCATAGGCTTAGCCGGTTGGTCCATTTCGTTTTTCTCACATTTATTGAGTGATAATTAATTTGGATTTCTGAATTTATTTTGGTATTTTTGTTCTATTTACGCATCAACTGGTCTGGATAATCTCTTCAATACAGTATCGGTGGAATGTTCAGGCTTTAATTTTGGATCGTATCCAGTCGATGTACTTATCGACTCTCTGTTTAAGGAAAAATTAGACGTTAAATAAAGAAAATTTATAGCTTCTAATGTCGAAACTTACTGTATAAACGCCGGGCCATCCATTTTGTCCGCAGGGCGATTTGCCAAAAGACACGATTCCTACTAAAAGATGAAATTCTGTTGTTTGATCGGATCTATGTCTTATCATGAGCGGACCACCTGAAATAATGATTATTTTTTACAATTCATTTATTTGAAAATCAATTACAACAGAAAATAAATTTCATCCATTCATTCTCAATTTGAAGGTAAATGATAATTGAAAAAATATAATGCAACATTTCAATTTGCATTATTTAATGGTAATTGGAATTGAATGAATTGGCATTGAACAATTTGAAACACTGACCTGAATCACCTGTTATCAAAAAATAGTTTATTAATCGTTATTAATTTAGTTAAGAGGACTCAATTATGACATTTCATATAATTACATACCTCGGCACGAGTCAACCTCACCGCCAGCACATATTTGCTTTTCGCTCAGGTTAACATTTTGTGAACGAAACTTTTCCGAACATATTTCCATTGAAACCACGTCCACCTCAGCCATCAACTTAACAGGACTGTTCAATCCTATTGAAATAATAAGCGTTTAGAGAAAAATGTGTTACAATCGTGTTAAACTTAGTTTATTAAACTATCAAAATAATGTAATACTGATTGAACCATTTTAAAAATTTAGTTCGTTTTACCTGTCTATAATGAAAATATAAAAGAGGAGAAAAAAAACAAATTAGATTTCTAAGTTCAGTTTTATGAAATTATAAGCTAAAAAGCACCTCAGTCTTCCCGAATCCACAAATTTTTAGTGGTTCTCCGTCATAATTTATGTTAGCTGTATCTCTCGTTGTAGGTAAACAAATTGGCCGCACAAAACGCGAATATGTGACCGGTTGCGCTAAACGTAGCAGCGCAATATCATTTCTTTGTGATTTTGAATATGGATCATATCCCTCGTGTGAAATAGTTTTGACAACAGGGATATTTTTTACTGGATCCGCCCTTTGGCCGTCGTCGTCATCGGGGTTAGTTTCCATATTCCATTCGCCAAGTCGAACACCTTTTGAGATCACACATACAATAGAAAGATAGAAAGAATTTCATCATTTGGAGTAATTATATAAATAGTTTCGTTTATATTTCGAACCTGTCAATGTATATCGAAATCTAGTCAAATCGGCACCGATCACACAATGTGCAGCTTAAAATTGAAAATAGATTGTTATTGTTTTGATCGATTAAAGTTAATGTGATCTATATACCTGTTAAGACATAGTTCTCATTTATGAGAACTCCACCACAATTATGGCTTTTTTCGCCATTTGCTACAAGAAAATTAAAGATTCAGATAAAAGCCGAAAATGTGTTTGTATTAAAGTCAATTCAATTACGTTTTGTATATTCGATTAAAGAAAACCACGGAAAATCGGTCACGCTCGTATTAACTCCGTTTATTATACGAGACTCCATCGCTTGATGTCCACACATGTTATGGTCGGGTAATACACCGGGACGTTCTTGTGATGAAAGGGTTGTTTCGTATGGTGCGTGTGTTTGGTATGGTTCGTATGTTTGGTATGGTGGAATATATAAGGGCACGGCAGGGCAACAGACCTAATAACAATATCAATTATTAGAATATAATCATTCGGTATCCAAAATAGTTAAATTGAAATTACCCCAAAAATATCGTCGCCACATTTACTTCGGCGTAGATAGTCTTGGTAATAATATGACTTTTGATTTTTATAGATGTAGTCCAGTTCAGGGCATTGAGATATCAACTTGCAGTCACCATATCTCCCATCTGGTGTCTGGCACGGTTCTATTTATCGGTAAATAAAATGAATGATAACGATTAATTTAAATATGTATATTGACAATCTAGCTGAAACAAAATTGAACTTGATTGATTAAGAGGTCGCATTATTTTCGCTATATGAGTCATTATTGATCTTGAGAACATAATAAAGAACTGAATAGATATTAGATAGATACTATATTTTGAAATATTTATGCAATGTCTGAATACACTTTATGAAGCTGATTTTTTTTTTGGATGACTTGTATAATTTGATAAGTTCATCTTTCAATCCATATTGAAATTCAGCCAAGGAGAAAGCAACTTTATTTAAATAAAAGCCACTTTAATATCATTGTATTTAATGTATGTTGAAACGATTCGCATAGACACAGGAGGTTGTAAGTTGGAATTACCTCCCCCAGTTCGCCAACAGAAACAATCGAAGAGGAGCAGTAAATCGGATAAAATAGAATGAGTTTTTGAGACATTTTTCAATTTTTTCACGGCTGATAGACTGTTTCCATTCTATTGTCCTATCAACTGCGCCCATGTATGATTGTGATTCTCTGATGTTTCACTTTTAATTCTAATAATCGTAATTGACTGCATAAATTTGATTCACACAATGATATCATTTCTAATATATTCACTTATTTCTTTTCACTTATCCACACACCAATTAATTCGCACAATTTTTATTTTTATTATTACCCAGAGCATATACTTAGCATAGATATATATCCTGGATATTTTGTCAGTATCCGATATTCATTGGAGCCAGACTTTGAAATAGAGTAAAAACAATAGAAGTTATTGTTATAGTGATTGTAGTAATGTAAATGGTTTTATACTTAGACAATCACTTCTATTGTTTTCACTCCATTATAATGTCTGGCTGCGATACTCACAAAATATCCCGGATATATATCTATGCTCAGTATATGCTCTGTTATTACCTAAAATGACAAAGTTAATTAAACATGCTAGAAGCACGTAAAGTTGAGTGTATTTCTGCATCATTGTCTTCAACTGTGACTTTTCAGCTCACTGGTTCGAAAATGACTGAAATTAATGCCACATCGGATGTTATTTATTAGCATTAAATGTGCCGACTCAAATCTTTTGACTATCTCCATGCAATGTTTTGCTGATGATATAACACATAATGTTTGTTATATATTATTTATATTCAACACACATGCGCGCTGGGAGGTTTTCCGGTTTGACCCCCACCTGAGGCAAATTTTCCAAAATTTTTAGGAGATTTACCGATTTGACCCCCCTCTGAGATTTTTTTCTCAAATTTGCAATATAAATGTATAAACAATAGCAAAAATACACTGATTTTGAAGTCAAACTTGCAAAATTTTGGCTCGCTTCGCTCGCCAACACATGTTTTTAATTGTTTCTCTCATGCAAAATTGTTATTTTAGTTTTCCATATAAATACCGCACAGAAAGAAAATATCAGCCGACGCTATACGCAAAACCGACTGGTACGTGCGCTCATACGTTTTTACATCTTTTACATCTATTACCATACGATTTTTCGACTGTGCGAAGATACGCACAAAGAGTAACGAATCAGTCGAAAAATCGTATGGTCACTAGATGTAATAAAATGTCTTACATCCGTAAGATGAACTTTTCCGCACTGTGATCCACGACATGAAAGAAAACTAAATCTGACATTAGTTTTAGATAAAAATAATTTTCGAAGCACTTTTCTTACAAAAACTACTAAAGATGGGAATTTTTGTATCGGAGCCATGCCTATATGATATCGTAATCATGTGAAAATTTGCAGAGGTTATTTTTTTCACAAAAAGTTAACATTCTGAAAGTTTGAAAAAATTTCAATGTATATTAAGGGTACTTCCCATACAAAATTTCGTTTTAGAACGAAAAATCCAAAATATTGTTCGGGAGGTGCCCCTAATATTCGTTGAAATGTCTTCAAACTCTCGGAATAGTATTTATGTGTGATAAAAATAACCTGTGCAAAGTTTCAGCTCATTACGATATCATACAGGCATGGAGTCCATACAAAAATCCAAATTTTTTGAATTTTTTGTATGAAAAGTGTTTCGAAAGTTGATTGTATCGCAAAACTAACGTCATATTCGGTTTTCTCGTACCCAAAAACCCCCCAATACACATTTTTGAGTGTTTAAGAATACATTAAATATCACTTTTGGAAGAAAAATTGAATTTTTCCCATGGATGGACATGGGCATCACACCAGACATGACACTTTACCCTGTCAACCAAAGTCGCTCAAAATCTAATGGTTTCTATTCCTCGGCACCCCCAATCATCCTGCGAAGTCAGATTTTGAATTACTTTTCTTGTTTGAAAGTTATCGTGTTAACAAATTTTTGCGTACAGCGTACAGCGTACAGCGTACAGCGTACAGGGTACCACGCACATACATTCGGACATCGAAAAAACGCTAGATTCGTGTTCCCTGGCTCCTAAAACACCCAGAAAACATGTTTTTTGAGGGTGTTAATTTTTCGACCGATTCCAATACTTTACCTTACACACTAGGTGTGTGCGGAAAAGTAAAAGATGTAAAAACGTATGAGCGCACGTACCAGTCGGTTTTGCGTATAGCGTCGGCTGATATTTTCTTACTGTGCGCCCTCCCTCCTTCGAGACCGAAGTAAATTTGACCCCCTGATCAAAAAACCGTGCGCATGTGTGATATTCAAGTGCCATTTGCGATAAGTCATGCATTTTAAAATTCAAAGAATCTATCAAAGTCTCTTCTTTCACCAACAGATTTAATGATTTTTCATCCAAATCCAAGGAGATTTTTTTTTTTACTTTCGTGTGTTTTTTGTATTTTCGCCTGGGAATTTTTTTTTTTTATTTCACAATTATCGACATGTTTATTTACATGAACTCTTTGCACAAGGTCGGGTAAAACCCATTAATTTGGCATTGACAAAATAAAAAATTCTACTGAACAATTTCTTGTGGGTTTTTCCCAGAATTTGATTCATACATAGGCACGGAAAATAAAATATGAAAATAAGATGAACTTTTCCGCACTGTGATCCACAACATGCATTTATAACAATACATATCTTTCACTCAAATTTGAATTCAGGAGAAAACTGAATCGATGAAACTGAAAACGATACAAATAATTTTCGACGACCTTTTATACAAAAACTACTAAAAATGGGAATTTTTGTATCGGAGCCATGCCTATATGATATCGTAATCATGTGAAAATTTGCACAGGTTATATAAAGAAATATATTTCTTTCACAAAAAGATAACATTCTGAAAGTTTGAAGAAATTTCAATACAATTTAGGGGTAACTTCCATACAAAATTTTCGTTTTATGACCAAAAATTTCATTTCAAACGCAATGTTTTGTTGATTCGAAATTGATCGGATTTTTCCCCAAAATTTGTAGATACAGTAATTTATTTACAGTTAAAACTTGTAAATCTCATTTTCTTGTCAAACTACATAATCTCAGCAAATTTTAAGAGATTTCAATGCATATTAGGGGTACTTCCCATACAAAATTTTCGTTTTTGAGCAAAAAATCCAAAATTTTGTTCGGGAGGTACCCCTAATATGCATTGAAATTTCTTTAAACTCTCGGAATGTTATTTTTGTGTGATAAAAATAAGTTGTGTAAAGTTTGAGCTCATTACGATATCATACAGGCATGGCTTCTATGCAAAAATCGATTTTTTTTTTGTTGAAATTTTTGTATGAACAGTGTGTCGAAATATCAGATTCGGTTTTCTCGTGCCAAAAAGCTCCCAATACATATTTTTGAGTGTTAAGGAATACATTAAATACGACTTTTGGAAGAAAAATTGAATTTTTCCCATGGATGCCCATGGGCATCACACCAGACATGACACTTCACTCTATCAACCAAGAGACTACACTATCTCACGATCGCTTATGAATGCAGTTTGCTCTATAATACCATGTGATATGAAGCAAGATTCATGAGCTGGAAGTGAATCCGACCTGGTCCAAAGTGTTCTGGAGGACGAAAATTTCGTCATTTTTTCGATTTTCCCATCGGAAAAAAATCGATTGGTAGTTTTTCTGATTTCCATACGAATGTCCGAGAATGAAAGCGAGACTTCTATTCACAACTTATTGAAATGTAACACCGCCATACAAAAAGTGTTGACTGTCTGTATATATATTTCTGTTATTAAATAATACTCACGACAAATTCCAAATGCAATCAAGCACGTTAGAAATAAAAATACTTGAATGCAATTTTCCATCGTTGTCTTCTTTAAATTTTGCTTCAACTAAATGAAGTACCTTTCTTGCCGGACTATATTAAGAATAACAGACGAAGCATGAAATTATGCGATTTTATGCACTGTTGCTAGCAATAGCGAGTAATGTATGTATCAAGTTTTTTTTCTTCAGCAGGAGTTATCAATGTATGTATACAACAAAAAAAAGAAATGTGCAGATAAAAATGTTTCAAACGTCGTGTTTATTTGCGCTTATATTTCAATTCAAACGAATAAATAAATATTCGCATTATTTTTTTTTGGTTCGTGTTCATTCGACGAATTGCATTCGCTTGTCCATTATATATTCAGAATATATATGAAATGAAAAAAAAAACAACATCAGCAAATCATCAAAGAATATTGTTTACGTATGCCAATAAGTTCTGTAGAATAAGTAATCTGGATTTTCCCCGCCGTATATGTGCATTAGGTCATTTCCAACGATTCTTCAAAATTGCATGTTTTGACTGCCAAACTTTCATAACCGACAATAAAACTTGATAAGTAGTTAAGGCTAATGTTCGTTTTATTGAAAAAATGAGAAATTCATAATAATAGCAAAAAACTGATTTTTTTTATCTTGAGTAATATTCTGAGATTCGTATAAAGTTAGTCATCGTGTGCGATTCTGTCAATTTTTATGCTTTCACGTTATCTTTGATCCAATTCGTATATCGGTCAATCCGCTGTTTGAAGAAAAATTAAACGTTACTTAAAGAAATTTGTTAAAAGTGAATTTTTAATCTTACGGTGTAAACGGCTGGCCACGATGATTCACACGGCAATCTTCCAAATGAAACAATGCCCACCAAGCTATAGTAAAATTGTGTATCATTAAGTTCATTCGCCTGTACCATTTCCACCAATGGCCCACCTGAATCGACTTTTTTCCACACAAAAAAAAAACAAGCGATGCATTATATGAATGAGGAGAACTTCAATTGTATGTAGTAATAATTATGTACCTTGACAAAAATCCTTTTCACTTTCACCGCCAGCACATAGTTGTTTGTTTGTTATAGTGACATTGTATTCACGATAAAAATTGTTACATTCTTCATGTGGAACACCACTTATTTCGGCCGACATCTTGAGACTACTGCCCGACACTGTGGAAATAAGATTAGTTATGAACAAAGCCAAAAAAATCTAAATAAAAATCCGAGTATCGATTGGGTCATACCTGTCTCTGATTTTCCAAATCCACCGATAATCAAAGGCTGCCTATCATAACTTTTGTTCATCACTTCCGATGTGGGTAGACATATGGGCTGAATCCAGTCCGTATAATTGACCGATCTTTCCAAACGCAATAGAGCAATATCTGCATCTTGTTCTTTCGAATGTGGATCATAGTTTTCATGCGTGATATGCTCTACAACACGAATATTTTGAACTGGTTCGGAGCATATGTCGTTTTCACAGTCTGGCTCAGATGTCGTATTCCATTCGCCAAGCCGGACTCCTTTTGTTGCCAAACATAAAATAGAAAAACATATTTCAGTTGATATAGGTCTGAACTAATTTCGTTTTTATTTCAAACCTGATAATCTCCATTCCCACAGCTTAATATCATTGTTGTTCACACAATGCGCAGCTTAAAATTGAAAATTTATGGTTATTTTTTGATTGATTGAAATTAAAGTGATTTTTATACCAGTAAGGACATAATTCTCATTGATAAGAATTCCACCGCAGTGGAAGTCTTTTTCATCATTTGCTAAAAGAGTATTAAAGGAAAAAATATTAAACGAAAAAGCTCAAATTGTTCAAAGCCAATTCAATTACGTTTTGTGTATTCAATTAATACTAGCCATGGATGCTCAGTGATTTCAGCTTGCTCGTCAAAAATGAAACGTTGGCTTTTTTGAATTCCACAAGTGCCTCTTTCAGGTAATTTACCGGGAGATCGTGGCGGTGATACGGTTGTAGTTTGTGGTATACATGGAGGAGGTTGACTGGATGGGACGACTTTAGCTGTTGTAAAGTCTGAAGTTGTTTGATTTTTTTCCACGGGACAGCAAACCTGTTGTCAATAATTCGTGAAAGTATTATTCGAATAAATCAAAACAATTTCATCAAAATTACCTTTTGGCCTTCACAATTATTATAATAATAGGAAATTAGATATGCTCGTTCATCATTTGTTGGATTTGGATTTTGGAAAATATCGTAAAGTACCTTACACCTAAACAAATCGCTGCAACTGCCTGGTTTGTTGTCTGGTGTGGTACATTGTTGTTCTAATTTCATGAAGAAAAATCCGAATAACAAATGAATGCTCGACAGTAAAAATGAGAATCCTCCCGAGATTTTATTGAAATGTAACACCACCTTTATATGGTGATTTTTCGGTGTTACAATTCAGTAAAATATACACATTCATTCAAACAATCAAATGATAACGATTATATTAGTAATGTGCGAAAAGGAGTAGTAGAAGGGACGTTAACCCGTTAAAACGTGATTTCGATTAGTACACATTTTCGCGCGGAAATTATTCGAATTTGCTAAGGTTTTATGACATCAAAAGTGAAGACCTTTTTTAGCTTTTCAGTTTATTTTTTTGGGAGAAAATCTTCCAATTTGCTAGGATTTTTTTGACGAGTGAAAAGTATTTTTCCATTTGCCTGTGATTTTCGAGATGTTTTTGGAAATCAACATTTTTCGGAGTGGAATCAAAAACCCCAATTTTCCAAAGTTATCCTCCCATGAACAATTTTGCTCGCACATTACTGGATTTTATTAACTTTGTATACAATTTCTAACAATCTTGCAAAAGAAAATCAACTTTATAGGTAATGTACAAATCAACAATGCAAACAAAAATGAACAGAACCACAGTTAAATTCATTAATTCTATAAGTAAATTACCGATATCGTTTGGATATTGAATTGTTGGAGTAGCAAATTCAGTAAATGGAGTTATTGGATAGACTAGAGTTGTTGAGACGACTGGAGTTGTTTGATTTTCTTCCACGGGACAGCAAACCTGATGTCAATAATTTGTGAAAGTATTATTCGAATTAATCAAAACAATTTCGTCAAAATTACCATTCCGCGTTCACAATAATAATAACTATAATTTAGATATGTTTGTTCATCCTTTGTTGAAAGTGGATTTTGGTAAATATCACGAAGGACCTTACACCTAAACAAATCGCTGCAACTGCCTAGTGTGTTGTTTGATGTGGTACATTGCTGTGCTAATTTCATGAAGAAAAAACACAAACAAGGCATGAGTGTTCAACAATAAATGTGATACTTTCCCCGAGAAAAAAAAAATTGAATGATTTTTCGGTGTTACAATTTAATGAAATCCACAGAGAAGTCTCACGTTCATTCTCGCGCAATCAGATGATAACGATTAAATTAACTTTGTTTACGATTTCTAACAATCTTGCAAAAAAAATGAACTTAATAGATAACGTTTCATGTTAATCAAATGAAGAAAAAAATAAAGAGTCTTACAGGAGTAAGACGAACTTTTCCGCACGGTGGTAGATGTGTTTGAATTACGATTCAAAGTTTCCTTTCTAAAAATGGTGGTTTTTGTATTGTGAAAATAAATTCAGTGTTTTAAATTATTTATCGAGTTGCCCTTCCCTCTCGAAACTAAAAGGAAACCATTTATCTAAACAAGATGCGTATTCTATTAAGCTATTTCAAAATAATATTTGTTCGATTTTTCAAGCCTTTCAAGCGGCGTTAAGTTTGAGGCCAAAAAATGTGTTCGGCATCGAAATATTCTTTCATTTAATAGCAGAAGTACTCGAAAAGATTTTTCACACTTCATGATGAACCCATTTGTACGACATTTGAAAGAATTCTATTTTCTATTGTATAAAACACTATAAAAAATATGTCTGACGTTAATTTTGCCATTAACATTATTTTTGAAACACTTTTCATACAAAAGTAAAACAAAATGGATTTTTGTATGGGAATCATACCTGTATGGTATCGTAAGCACGTGAAACTTTGCACAGGTTATTTTTTTCACAAAAAAAACCATTCGAAAAGTTTGGAGAAATTTCAACGAAAATTATGAGTACCTCCCATACAAAATATTCTTTTTTGAACCAAAAATTGAAAATTTTGTATGGGAGGTACTCCTAATTTTGATTAAAATCTCATCAAACTTTCAGAATGTTATTTTTTTGTGCAAAAAAATAGTCTGTGCAAAGTTTCACGTCATTAAGGTGACGGCATGGCTCCCATACAAAAATGCAATTTTTTTTGTGATTTTTTCAAGGAAACTGTATCAAAAAGTGATTGTATCTCAAAATTAACCTCGGATTCGGTTTTCTCGTGCCAAAAACCCCCCCAATACATATTCTTGAGTGTTTAAGTCTACATTAAGTATGACTTTTGGACGAAAATTGGACTCCTTTTCATAGGTATCACTCCAGGCATGACAATTTTTTCCATCGACCAAAATCGCTCAAAATCTAATGATTTCTATTCCTCGGGACCCCCAATCATCCTGTACAGTCAGATTTTAAATAACTTTTCTGGGGGGTGAGATAATCGATGGACAAATTTTGCGTACGGCGGACAACGTACGACGTACGACGTGGAACAGACACACACCAACCATGCTCAAAACGGCCTGATACGGGTTCTCTGACCTCAGAAACGTCCAGAAAACATGTTTTTGAGGTTTCGTAAATTTTGACCCATTGCAATACTTTCCCCTTTCACACTAGGTGTGTGCGGAAAAGTAACAATACAAAAATAAACAGAAGCAAAGTTAAATTCATTAATTTTATAAGTGAGTTACCATTTGCTCTTGCTATAACAGGTGATTGGTAATCCACTGTTATTGGTATTTCGGTTGATGCTATTGGTTGCTCCACCTGTTGAGTTGTTTGATTTTCTTCCACGGGGCAGCAAACCTGAGGTCAATAATTTTTGAAAGTATAATTCGGATTATACAAAACAATTTCATCAAATTTACCATTTGGCCTCCACATTTATTATAACTAAGCGATAGATATGTTTGTTGATAATTTGTTGAAAATGGATTTTGGTAAATATCGTAAAGGACCTTACACCTAAATATATTGATGCAACTGCCTCGTGTGTTGTTTGGTGTGGTACATTGTTCTAATTTTATGAAAAACACCAACAAATTATAACAATAATGTATTAATTTCGATGCATACAATTTTTCAATTAAAAAAATGACAATTTAAAAAGAATACCCAAGTTGTTTATATGAGGAGCTGTGCGGTGCGGTGTAGATTCGGGCGAGAATGCATAGTAACATTTACTCACACAACAAAACGTTCACATCGTTGTTGATCTCTACACAGCGTCACACATCTCCGCGTAAGTTCGTATTTAAATCATTTTGGGTTTGATTAACCAAGTTCAGAAACTGTTACTCAGAGCGATATATGTTAGAGCAATAATTAAAACTAATAATTTCACGATTTTGGATATTTTATTAAATTTTAAAGATATTTTGCTGCTCAGTAAGAAGGAGCTCTCCCCAGCGCTCCTCCGGCCCTCACATATATTGCAATGAGAAACAGTGTTTGGTTCCGTTTTATGTAAATGACGAAAAAGTAGAAATAAAGTGCATTCACTGTATCTACTTACGTGTATTTGCTATGCAAATAAAGCACATTAGAACGAACAATTTTGTAATGTAATTTTTCTGCATTGTTATATTCTTTAAATCGTACTGTGTTTAGTGAGTTTTTGTATTCGTTAAATCGTACTACCTCTCTCTTTGAGTTCTTGTCACCGACTGACAACGAATGCTTAATTTTGTACATTACATATGTATGGCGTCATATGAATTTCCAGTGCTTTATCTGTTGGCTATGAGATTTTATGTGTTCGTTCATACTATTGCTTGAGATGAATCTCTCGTTTGTAGATTTACTGCTAGAGACACATATTGTCAGTGCTACACACGCAGTATAGCTACACAGAATCGAAGAAAGGAAATGAAAAAAACATACCATAGACGAAATATACAATGAACATTTACCAAATTTGTGCATTTATATATATTTATATATGCTTTGGGTGATTTTTTGACCGTAGATTACGAATCGGGGAAAACTATTTTCAGAATAGTCAGTTATTATTTAAAGCATCAATAGAATTTTTTATGCTTTTTTTCAATTGCAAAAATTCGGCACAAAAAGGATATTTTTATTCTTATCTTTAACTTGGAGTCTGATTTGACCTCGAAATTGTAAAAAAATTATTGAATTTTTCTTCTCTTCTTCCCAGAAATTATATTGAGATATTTTCAGCCAGCTGATCAGCTCAGGAAGCTAACGACAGGCGCTGAAATGGAGTGAAAACAATAGAAGTGAATTTTATAGCGATTGCAGCAATGCAAGCCTTTTTATAACCATAACAATCACTTCTATTGTTTTCACTCCATTTTAGTGCCTGAAGTTGGCTTCCTGAGATGAATCAGCTGCCTGAAAATATCTCAATATAATGTCTGTTTTGTTCCTAAGCACTCGAATTGCACTGTTCGCCCTGGGTTTTTACACCGTGTACCAGTTACGAAAACACGAAACGAAATACTGAGAAAGAACATGTATGTGTGCATACGCTTCATGCTTTGCGTCTTATTCCAACAATTGGAAAATCATTGGCCATAATAAAAATTACAACATGGACCCCGCACTCTGATATTGTATCTCTTATCAATGTAGCGCAAATCGTGAAAAATTAGAAAAAATGAATTCAATGACTCACACATAAATCATTTTACACCGCCCATTTAACTTATCCGCACACCCACTGTGTGCATTAAAATATTGTAATCACCCCAAAAAATTTGAAATCACTAAAAAACGTCTTTTTACGTGTTTTGGGTCTAGAGAATCAGAATGCAACGGTTTTTTTTGACCATTTTTAATGTGGAGATGTGATACACTGTACCATGCACGCAAAAAATGTTAGCAGGATATCTCTTTCCAGAGAAAAGTAAATCAAATTCTGGCTTACCCTGATTGGGGTTTGCAAGGAATAGGTTGGTATTGTTTTTGAATGATATTTTTGGCACGAGAAAACCGAATCTAACGTTAGCTTTGCAATCCAATTTAAGTTTGAGTTGCCCTTTTCATATCATTTTTCATATTCTCTCTCACTCTCTCTTTGCTTCACTGGCAGTAAATTGCTTTACTAGTAGTATAAGATTAATCGAAAGGCAATAAAATAATTTGCAAGTGTTTTCATTTTATTAAGGAAAAATTAAAAGTATCACTTAAAAAAGCGATGAAAGTCAAAAGAGACTTTTTTTTAGTTTTGAATTGGAATATTTCAAGATTCATGAAAAGTAAAACATATATATTTATTTTGCTGAATCCGATGCTTCGATTGATAGCTCAATATTCAGTGTCTTATGTTGGATATTATCCAGTCAATGTATTGATCCACTCTCGTATAAACTCCGGGCCATTCAGGCTGTGAACACGATTTTGCTGTAAATGAAATAATTCCCACCAAATAATAATAGCTGAGTCTTCGATTAGTATGCTGTGCCATAAGTGGCCCGCCGTAATCGCCTGTTACAAATACGCCAAAATATTCATATATAAATTGAGCTCGTACAATTCAAATGAGATTTTTTCAATTATTTACCTTTACACGAACGAGTTTTTGTGTTAACACCAGCACACATTTGTTTATTTGTCAAAGTAATACCCTCTGATTGATACTTATTGTAACATTGATTAAACGGCATAAAATCGAGTTCAGCCTTCATCATACGAGTACTCATATTCTCTGTGGAAATAATAATGTGATTCAAAATTATGATATCATTAACGATGTACACCGCAGTGAAACGGATCGTTTTAAAAATGTAGATAAAGATGTATACCATTCTGTAATGAAAATAAAGAAAAAAGCACAAACATTAGATGTTGAAAACATTTTTTTTTTTATAAAATGTTAATTGAAATACCTCTGTTTGGCCAAATCCCGAAATCTTCAGAAATTCTCCATTATAGTCTTTATCGATAAGCTCTTTTAATGTGGGTAAGCAGATTGGTCTTATCCAATTCGAATATGAAACCGACTCGGCTAAACGCAGGAGACCAATATCATTTTGCTTCGTTTGTCCATTGTACCTTCCATGTATAATACGCTTTTCCACTTGGATGTCTTTAACTGGATCCGCCTTTTGGCCATCTTCCTCATCTGGGTCAGTTGTTGTATCCCATTCACCAAGTCGAACTATTGATCAAATCATTCAGCACAAAAATTGAGAGAAAAAAGTTATTTTAGTTGAAAAAAAATCAGAAATCATTTGATTTATATCATCTCATACCGAGTAACGAGCGACTATTCATGCACCGTGCGGCTTAAAATTGGAAATGGAAATTTAATATCACTCATTGATTTATTGAGGAAAATGTATTTTCGTCATTTATATACACCTGTTAGAACGTAGTTTTTATTAATTAGAACACCACCGCAATGAAAATGCGTGTCGCCATATTCTAAAAAAAGAAAGTGGAAAATGTTCATTTAATTGTTAAAAAACTGATTATTTGTAGTCAAGTTAATTGTAAATTACGATTCCTATATCCGATCATTGCATGCCAAGGGTACTCTGCGATTTCTGCACTTTCTCGATGGACCATACGGTTATACAACTGTATTCCACAATCCACACCAGGTTGAGGTAATAAATCAGAATGTGTCGGTGGTTGTGTCGGTGGTTCTGTCGGTGGTTCTGTCGAAGCATCAGCACAACATACCTTGCAATAACTTGTTGAAATATAACAGTTTGGGATAGAGATTGGTTTTATCGTAATTACCCATTGGTTTCCATAGAAGTCGGATCCACAAGTGTTAATATTTCGTAAAAAGTTATGATAAGTATATTGATTTGAAAATAAGCTGTAAGGGATAGGACAATAATTTAAGTAGGTGCAATAGCCTCGTCTGTATTCAAGCGTTGAACATGGTGATACTAAGTTTGTAAAAACAAAAATAAATGATAACGAAATAACTTTGTGAATGAAGGCGTCATTTAAATTTTATATCAGAATATTTTCAGATTTAGTATTACGTCATAATGGGAATTTCCAAAGAAGTGTTTCATACTTATTTCAATAATAAAAACAAAAATAAACAGAGCAACCAACCATTTGCTTTTGGTTGTGCTATAACCGGTCGTCTTGTTGTTGTATAATCGAAGTAATGTTCAGTTGATGATATTGGTTGCTCCATGGGGCAGCAAACCTGAGGTCAATAATTTTTAAAAGTATAATTCGGATTATACAACAATTTCATCAAATTTACCATTTGGGCTCCACAATTATTATAACTAAGCGATAGATATGTTTGTTGATAATTTGTTGAAAATGGATTTTGGTAAATATCGTAAAGGACCTTACACCTAAATATATTGATGCAACTGCCTCGTGTGTTGTTTGGTGTGGTACATTGTTCTAATTTTATGAAAAACACCAACAAATTATAACAATAATTTATTAATTTCGATGCAATTTAAATGAGGAGCTGTGCGGTGCGGTGAAGATTCGGGCGAGAATGCATAGTAACAATTACGCACACAAAAAAAGGTTCACTTTGGAGTTGTTTATTGTTTATTATTTTCGTCTATTCTCTACACAGCGTCACACATCTCCGCGTAAGTTCATAATTAAATCATTTTGGGTTTGATTAACCAAGTTCAGAAACTGTTACTCAGAGCTATATATCTTAGAGCAAATATTAAAACGAATAATTTCACGATTTTGGATATTTCTTTGAATTTTAAAGATATTTTGCTGCTCAGTAAGAAGGAGCTCTCCTCAGTGCTCCTCTGGCCCCTCCTCACATATATTGCAATGAGAAACAGTATTTGGTTCCGTTTTATGTAAATGACGAAAAAGTGGAAATAAAGTGCATTCACTGTATCTACTTACGTGTATTTGCTATGCAAATAAAGCACATTAGAACGAACAATTTTGTAATGTAATTTTTCTGCATTGTTATATTCTTTAAATCGTACTGTGTTTAGTGAGTTTTTGTATTCGTTAAATCGTACTACCTCCCTCTTTGAGTTTGTGTCACCGACTGACAACGAATGCTTAATTTTGTACATTACATATGTATGGCGTCATAGGAATTTCCAGTGCTGTTATCTGTGGGCTATGAGATTTTATGTATTCGTTCATACAATTTTATACATGATATTCACGTCTAATATACTACTATCGAATAAATCGTAGTATAAAAAAGTTATAAAATGTTATAATCACTTCTAGTGCTTTCACTCCGCAATCTTTTATGATTTTCCAGTAAAATTGACCCCTTTTATTTTCAAGTCACTGTCATATATCTAATAGAAAATTGAAAATTCTTTCATATCTTGAATCTGGAGACCATAAGACATGTTTTTCCAAATGGCCGCAAAATTATGCCGAAAATGTTAGTGGATTTTTTTCAATGTGGATTGTGGGGTCATCAATGCCGACGATTACAGTGTGACAAGTCAAGCTAACAAGTCTCTATAAGAACGTTTCATGAGATTAAATAAAAATCCAATGGATGACAATTGAAATTTTGTTAATCCGAATCCTCTAATAAAGAAACATACCTAACACACAACGCTCACTACAGACCACAATAGTACTATGCAGTATAGTGTTGTGATGTTGGTTCGTGACCTTGTTGAAATGATTTACATTGCAATTGTTAGCGATTTTAACATCATTCAGTTCGTACATAACGGTCCATCGTGGTTTAACACCATTTAACACGGTTACTGATATCGGACATCATACTCCATCGTAGTCTAACATCATTTAACACGGTTATTGAGGTCGGACATGATGGTATATCGTAGTATAAAACCATTTAACATGGTAAAAAAATTCAAAACATGATTTAACATGGTTTACGGGGTCGACCATCATGGTAAAAACTGTTAAAACATGATTTACCATGGATTTTGAGGTCGACCATCATGGTAAAAACTGTTAAAACATTATTTAATATGGTTTACGGAATCGGCTATCACGGTAAAAATGTTAAAAATACGTGAAATATTAACAACATGACCGAGTTTAACCAGTCTATGTATTTCGGATGGATATCCATCCGGGATATTTTAGAATATCTGGATATTAAACGCAACTGCACAGCGCCAGAGCTGTGTGCGTCGCAAATAGAATCTACGGTATGTCGCGACGTATATGTGTATCAAGTGCCGCACGTACACAGACACACTGTGTCTGTATTTTACGTGTAGCGACATACCTTGGATTATATGTGCGACGCACACAGCTCATTAGCAAAAGATCATTTTTGTCAGCGAAAAAATTATATATTTTGTTTAAGTTGGTGAGTTAACTGATTTTTTTTTGCTGGCAATGAAAAAAAACATATATTTTCTATTATTATTCAAATTCAAAATTCACTGAATTTTGAAATTAAGTGCTCTAGACTTGAATCGATTTTTCTTCATACATTGTGTTGTGTTGTGTCTATTATTTTTTGTTAGAATAAAAAAATGGCACCGAGACGTGCACGCCCGGCATCATTTTTACTCTCTTCCGACGAAGAACAGAACCAACCACCCCGTGTTGCTCGGCGAGGTTCTCGTTTATCATTACACCGTACTACAGATGGAGAGTGGATAACATCAACCCCATCAACATCGCTTGGTCCGCGTGATGTTTCATCATCACGTGATCCGCGTAATGTTTCATCATCGCGTGAACCGCGTAATGTGTCACCATCAATTTTTACAAATTTGAATGTGGCACTTGGCAATGAAGAACCACATGAAGAGCCAATCGCATCGACTTCGACTTCAATCGCTTTCGCACAAAATCCAACAAACGATGCACATACAACAACAATTGCGTATGATGTTATATCGAATCCGATTTCATATTTGCCAATGCAACAAAATGGGTTTGCTGGTTTTGGCACACCGCCACCACCACCGGTAAATGGATTTGGTTTACCAAACAACATGTTTTTGGTGCTCAACAACAACAATACTTAAACACACCAATGATGAAGTGGTCAATGGTTCATGAACCTTTCTGATTTAGCGTGAACAAGGTATTGCAGCGTGAAAAGTTTGAACAAAGCATTCAAGCCTCAATGTCAGCATATATGAATAATTTGAAATCGATGCAGGCATTAATTGACCTTTAGATTGTCAATGGTGGACGCACAGCGGATGGTATAATAGGTTTTTTTCTCACGACCACAACATAATAACATATTGAGTATAAATTGAGTCTTTTCTCATTATACGAACGTGTAGGGAGGCGAATCAGTGATAATTAACTCAATTGAGTTAAATTCAAACCGTTGAAAAATACATATGAAAACCACACACATTTACATACATACATACGCTCAACAATGAAACGAGCTTCTTCGATCAGTTATTGCTCACACCGACTTGGATTTCATGTAGCGATTCAAAATCATTTGATTATATGTTACACTGCTTCTAGATTATTGTGCAAAAAAAGGACTATATTGATCCCGTTATTTTATGTTTATAATCAATAAACAATCACTTCTCACTCATTGTTTCATGCGAAAGTTCATAGTTACGTAGGCGACTATTTAAGTTTCTTCAATAT